TGAGAGAGAGAACGGTGGTTTGTCTCGTCTCCACGTTTTTCCCTGTGACGAACTGGAGACCTGTCCAGCCTCTCGCACAGTGACTGCTGGATATGGACACCAGTGACCACCATGACCCGAACAGGAAGAAGTGGGTAAAATATAATGGATGGATGGATAAAAATACCAAGATACTAGGTTAAAATATAACATAATTATTGAACATGGTTCACTTTCATGTTTGGTACACTATATACAAGAAGATATTCATACTATCTACTCACCTGCCTATGCACTCATTTATAAATCCTTAATATTGCTTTCTAGTGTGTTTAACAACTCACAAACAATACATAAAAAAAACACTTATTGTAAATTGGTACCACAGAATAAGCTTGGCCTTGTGGAACTGGTTTACAGTGTTTCAAAATCTAAGAAAACTGAGAGAATGTATGAAAACTCTGTGGCATACTAATCTAACCAGCCAACTTCAGCAAAAGGGATGCAAAGAGGACAGGTTTTTTTTTTTGTTGCTCAAGCCTTAAGGCATTTGTCTCCTTCACCCATCTGACAAGTTGAAAGAAGCCACAGTTATTTTTTGAGTTACTCAAACAGAATATAAATTGCTTTCAGTGTAATGCTTAAATCTACAGCTCCTTAACATGTATGCATGACATGTGGTTTGTTCTAAAAGTCTAAAGTTAAATCTACAGACCAACATGCACAGAACCCCCAACAGAAGCCGACTTGTAGTTCACAGAGTCTCCACCCGAGGGCTCTAGAAACCCAATCTATGTTACTGGTCAGTAAACACACAAACACCAGTGATTGTGTTGCTCTGTGAATCATATACAGTCACACTCCGAATGCTAATCCATATGTGAACTAGTCTCCTATTTGTTCCACAGGTGGGGATATCAGCTGTAACCTCTTGTTCCTGGCTCTTGCTCGAGCCACGCTCCATGCTAATTAGTAAAGAGCCAGCCCTCCTGTTTGGCCTAAATTAATTAATCAGTCCTCATTATGCACACTGCTCCTCTGTAATTGCCAGCACAGGCACAGTGATGAATGATAACACAGAAAACATTCTCATTAATGTGGGAAAAGTGTGTTGCCACCCTCATAATGAGACAGCTCTTATCCACAAGAGCCTTTCTCTGCACGCAAACACACGTTTGACACAAATTGCATGTTGACCGAGCCTTTAGGAATGCTTCTTCCGAGCTAAACGGACCGGACACAAAGGTAATGGCCTGGGTCTGCGGGGATCAGCGGGCTGTTCCAGCTGCCTGAGACAGCCACGCCTGACCGACTTTGAGATAAACTAAAGGCGGCCGCAGCACTGTTAATTTACAGTGAGCATCCTCCTGTGGCTCGGATTAAAACAAACTTTCAGGTGGTGCAATTAAAGCAAAGACCTCTGAATGGAAATCAGATTACCTCAAATCAACCTTGTTTACTTCTGCATGGGAAAAAATCCCCTCTGATCTTTTTTTTTTTTTACCCAAGGTGCACTGCTATATTTCAACAGGCATTAATCGTCGAATCCTAATCTCCAGCTAAAGAAGAGAAAGGGATGCAAGGTCACATTAAGCCCTGGGTGGTATTCAGACGCTGAGTTTTGCTGGGATCCTCTATTGCCATTATTCCAAAATCTGCAGATCATTCAGAATGACGGCTTATATCTCAAGGATAAAGTTTGGGAAAGTGATGTGCAAAAGCTGCCATGTTTGATGCGTATCAAACAAAACTGTGCATGTGCAGGACAGGCCACATTTTCACAAACCCTTCTGGTCTTGTCCAAAAATGTATTTTTGCCTTGCTCCAAAAAGTTAAAAACAGGTATGTGTTTGTTCATCTATCATGTTGGCAAAATATCTCATGAACCACATTTTATTGAAAATTTCAACAAGTATTCATTTTCTGTGGAAATACAACTGAATAAACTTTGAAACCAACTTATTTCTATATGGCTGCCACAGCCAACTGGCCTTTAAAATACAAACATGTTTGTAACTTATCCCTACTGTACAAATAAGCTTAAACATCATGTATTTGTAGCTAAAAATAATCTGCAACACATATTTTAAACACTAATTGTGCAAGATATCTGTTTAAAACATTGGCAACACCTATTGAAGTCAGCTTTGTCTGATTGTTAGCAAAATATCTCATCAACAATGGGGACCATTTATCTGAAATTCTCAAAATAATCACCAGATGTCCATCTACGAATGATTAACTTTGGGAGTTATTTAAATTATTGATGATCACTACAGCTCATCAAACTTAACCAACACAAAAGCAGCTGTAGCTAAGGCAGCTTTACAGATACTAGGTTCAAATGTAATGTAAAAGCAGCTGGGAGTCACTACACACACTACAGTTACAGATCGTGCACCATATTTTCCAGGTTTGACCAAAACAGCTATTAATGTTTTTAATTTCTTAACACAAGATTATTTCTAAGTCTCTGACAGGAATGCTTGTGACCAAATGCATACATTGAAGGAATGCTAGGCCTTTAATTGTAAGAGATTAACAAATATTTTCAATAAAAATACACTCAAAGTTGATGCAAACCCAGTCAATGGTTATATTTCGGCCACGGACGTGGGAGCCAAACACACCGCAGCACAGATTGAAAAGTCACAGCTTTTCAGTGATTGTTGATGAGAGCATCCAGGAATAAACCAATGAATTATTAAACTAAACTGCTACACTGAATCATAACTTCAGTGAGTCAGCAATCCCCCCCTCTTTATAAATGTGACTAAATCTAAATTCAGCTGTGATGTACACCACGTTACCTCTTCAATAAAATATACTCCTGCAAAAACACCACACAGTTTGATCATTCTTACACTAGTAGTTAGCTTTGAAGCTGTTTGTGTCACTGTATTTACTTTGATTTAAGTCAGTTCTGAAGTGAACAAAACATGATTTGGAACTGACTATATGCCATAATAGGGGTGATTTTGAGCTAAATGCCAATAAGCTCTTATGTGATCATATGCTAATGTGTGTTCTGGAGTAGGTTTGACTTATAAATCTTTAACCCAATGAAGTTTTTCTAATCAGGGGTGATTCATCATATCTACAGCTCTACATGCTCATGTCCTCGAGAGATTTGCTGTAACGATGATGGTGATTTGATTTGTTTGATAGATGATCTATTACTGCAGAGGATTGAAATCTGTCGGCACTGATTCCACACCTCATGTCATAATTAAACGGACTGTCCGGAAAGATTCATGGATGTGGAAAATAATCTAACGCGGAGGAAGCAAACGCACGCATGAGCTTAAATGACCACTGTAACCAACTTCTTACAATACCAGCCATTTTATTATTTCATTTATTATTAATTATATCCACTGGCTGTGTTTGGCTGAACCTCAGGCAGTATTCCCACTAGTTAAACTCTGTGTGCCTCGCTCTCTGCAAGTGCTCCAAGCAATAACACAGATTACCTAAACTGCATGGTTTTGTGCTAAATATAGAATGGATGTGCATGGTGATGCTACTGGAATTGCTTATTCCAGGTCAAGTGATAGATCCAAATAGACTAAAAACTTAGCATTCGTTTAAAAAAATCTCACCACCCGTCACTTTTTAAGTCATAATTTTAACCTAAGATCTTCTATTAATACAAAGAGACAGATTTATAGTTGTTTTGGTTAAACCTTGTTAATCACGTTATGCATAAGTTTATGCCTTTTTGCAATATCTAGGTCAGTGATACCCAATCCTGGTACTCGAGGGCCACTATCCTGCATGTTTTAACAATTTCCGTGCTCTTCTGCAGGTTTTTGAGTCCAGTAGATGCTTGTCGATACCTCACTTATTAAAATAAGTTGTGTCAAATCTCACATCTAAAGCATGCAGGATAAGGGCTCAGAACCAGGAATTAACACGACTGATTTAGGTACATTTGTTAGAGGTCAAAGTATGTGTTGAGGATTAATCTCAGCTACTACTCGATCAATTATTTGCTCAATTCATGTAAATTTGATCAAGTTATGACCATCCTTGTGTTGGCTAAGATCAACTAGCTGTGGCATCAATAAAGTAGTCTCCGTAATATAATCAGTTGTAGAGGTACATCCAATTATTATTTTGGAGAGTTTTGCTATAATCTGTCATTAAAATGTGTGGTTTATTAGATAAATTCAATTCAATTCAGTTTTTTTTATATAGTGCCAACTCACAACAAAGTTGTCTCAGGGCACTTTACAGAAACATAGTATATAAACTGTACATAGTAGTATAAACTGGGGATGGCTCGACTACTACCACGCCAAATTTTTGCTCAATATTTAAAAAAACTGCCTGACATTTTTACATTTGATCAGGTTGTTCAGTAAGATAATCAGATGTAGACAAGAGTGTCCTTAAAATCTGTCCACTGATTAATATTTTGCTACAGCTAACTAATATTAGAACAACATGCTGATTTTAATGTGTGAACTAAAGTTGATTTTTTTTTATATATATATATATAAGGAAAAAAAATGCAAGTAGCTGAAAAGAGAATGCAGGTGTCTGTGTGTGGGTGTAGAATCTGACACTTGTGAGAAAGCGATGAGTGAATGTGAGTTTGTGTGCATGTGTCTTGTTTTTGACATATGTACATGTGTGCTGAATTACAGTTGGGTAGACTGGATAAGTGGCTCAGAGTAGTTCACTGCCAGAGCGTATTCATTTCAAAGCCAACTTGGAGGCAGACACCAGGGAAGTGAGAGCAGGGAGGCTTACTGGCTAATCTGGTCAGAGAGCAAGCTGGAAGCAGTACAGAATTCTTAATGTAGGCGGATGCACAAATAAATATAAAAAGTCTAATTAATGACTGATGCTAAAAACACTTTTCTTTGTGGATGTATGTCTGTGGTAAAAGAAGTGTGGATAAAGTAACAAGAAGTGAGTGGATTTATGTCTAAGGATAATGTTGACTCAATCTGCCCTCGTACCTGACTCCAAGACTTCCCTGTGTAATCTTAGACCTGGTTATAGATTCTTACACTTGAATGTCAAGCATGATCCTCTTGTCCTCTTCCACATGGATACCCCAGATGCAGTCCTGCCCCTTGTCGTAGGCCTCGGGCCAATTAGGAGACAGCACCACACCAGCAGAGTCGGTGATCTCTCCACTGCACACAGCTGGAACACACGGGTTGACGACAGAAAACAAACAGGAACAAATATTGAGATGCAGGACCAACAAAGCTTACTCTGTTGTACATCAGTACATTGATACACAAATTACCTTTTAACTCGATTTAATGGACTTTAATAGCTCACTCATAACCTGTCTTGTGCTCCTGTGGTAAAACTATGTTTGAAACTTCTTGTCACTTGCATGTTTTTAGTCCTTTAAAGGGTGTCAGATTGGAAAATTTGGATTCTGCATTGAATTCTGTCTTGCAGGAAAAAACAAAACAAACAAAAAAAAAAACATATAGTTTCACTATGAATGGAACTTCTACATTTTGCTTAGTCAAGCACAAACTAGAAGGGGCTTTGCGATTATAGTAGGATGCAGGAGCAACACACAGTCATTGTATTTTATGTGCTTTAAAAGTACTGCACAAGTAATCTTCATTAGCTAATTGTGTAGCTCAGAAGCCAGAGGTAGATTTGACTTTCTACTCTTGTGTGGTGAGCAGACAGTGAATGCAACATGTTGCTTTTGAGAAAGAACTGATCTGTGACACCAAAGTTCATGCTCAACAATCCAGGTACAAAACCCAACAATGTTCAGTCAGGTCATCTGGATGGTTTATTTTTTTGCTTAGACGTTTCGTCCTTGATACAAAATATGTCTTCAATCTGAGGAGCCACAAAACAAAACTGATTCCCATCAACAGCACACTTCAAAGTGAAAAAAAAAACCAGTTTGTTGGTGCTAAGATGGCCTTTGGGGCCCGCCATCAACCCCTCTGAGATTGTTTTGTTTTGTGGCTCCTCAGATTGAAGAAGTCCTTTGGATGAAGGACGATTTGGATGAAGGACAAAACATCTCAGCAAAAAAAAAAAAAAAAAAAAAAAAAAAAGAAAAAGAAACTGTCCAGATGACCTGACTGAACATTGTTGGATTTTACACCTGGATGATTGAGCATGAACTTTGGTGTTTTGAACCACTTTGGCATTACTTTCTTAGAGGAGATGACAAGGGAGAAAGCGGGCCCCGGAGGCCATCGTATCACCAGCAAACTTTTTTTTTTTTTTTTCCACTATGGAGTATGCTGTTTGGGAGAATTAGTTGTTTTTGGTGGCTCCTCAGACTGAAGAAGTCCTTTGATTGAAGGATGAAACATCTCAGCAAAAAAAGAAACCGTCCAGATGACCTGACTGAACATTGTTGGAACTGATCAGTGACTTGTGGCTGGTGGTATTTTAAAAGGGAAGAGGTTGTCATTTAGCCTCAATGACTGAGGATGTTAGACTTTGATAGGCAGATGATAGAAGCACACAGTGATGTTGGCTTTGCTAATACAGGAACACTAACATCAGATCTGGAGGTAGCAGAGGCGCTAAAGCGTACACTCAAGGATTGAACAGCAGAAGCTCTTTGGCCAGTATCTCACCTATACTGTGCTTTTATTTATTGTATGGGCTGGTTGTTAAATTTTCCATTTGTGATGAACAGGACCATGAGGCCTGGCTGCAAGCCTGTGACCCGTGCAAGTCCAAAACAGTTACAGCAGAATCTGAGAGTAGCTTAAGTTAAAAAAAAAAACAAAAAAAAACCCAACTGATGTAATGGAAAGTGCAAGTTTCTTGGCTGGATCTTTGCAAAACTAACAATGAGCTACTTGGTGACCATGACCCCAAAGAGCAAGCATTTAAGTTTGCCATATCTCACAATACAAGCAAGCTTTTCAATTCCACTCTGTGATGAAACGACCACGCAGGCATTAAAGAAGCTGAGTGAGGTCAGCATGTTGCGTTTGGGTGCATGTGTCTGTGGCAAGAGTGCGATAAAGAGGAAAAGCTTTAGCAGGCTGTTATTAAATATTGTGCATAGCCTGTGCACTGTGCCATGTTCAACTGAGGGCAGCTATTGTATATCTTTCATCTGAAGCGCTTCTAAAATGTACCCCGTCAGCACACGTATCAAAGTAAATCATTGCTATAATTTTAGGGGAAAATTTATCACGGATCAGAGGAAAGCAGCTTATGAAGATATGGTTAACTGCTGGTGGTACTTAATTTGAACAAAGACTTCACTACCTCCTGAAATGATCAAGCAGACACAATTTAAGTCTTGGGTTCTTAGGTCAGAGATATTTGAATGAATTCTTTACAAGAAGCTTGTTTTTTAAGACTTAATGCCCCACAGGTATACTTAAACCAGTGCAATCTGTTGACTTACCTCTGCAGGCTGGCTCTGTCTCATTCCACTGTGGGTTTTGTGAATCTACACACTCAATCACTACAGAGCCTTGCTCCAGCGTGTAGCCAGGGTCACATGAGAATTCAACCACAGCTCCCATGCGATAGGTGGAGTCGCTGCTGCTGAAGTTGCCATACTTCACAAAAGGTTCATAGCACATCCCTTTTGCAAAGGCTGTGGGAAGAAAAATAATTGCTAGACTAAAGAGGTGGACAGGATACAATCAGACAATTTTACAATTTGCATTTTCTGCTTGCCTTCATATCGGATGGCTACACCAGTGGAAGTCATTGTCCCATCTGTGGTAAACTCTACAAACAGGTAACGTCCAGTACTAAGCAGTCCTTCATTTGGCAAGTATTCAACCTCGTAGGAGTCGTAGATGGGAGGAGAATCTATGTTGTTGCCATTTTTTATCAACAATCTGAGGGAAAACGGAGAAATAACATAGAAGATAAAAGAGACTTGAACAGAATAGGATGGAGAAAAAAGTGAAAATGCCTGAAAACAACTCTTTCTTCCAGTTGCAGTTGTAAAAACTGTTGTTGCATAAAACCACTCCAATGTGATGGACATCCATGCATTCAACAGAATCTCTTGTTTGATTCAATCATGATTTTTACAGTTTATATGCTTTGCAGAATCCTCTTAAATAACGATAAATAAAAATAAATTGTAATCTTTCAACAGACTTTGGTTATTAGGTACCCTTGAGAGTTTTGGTTCAATCTACATGGAGACTGTTATCCAGACAATGAGTTAAAAGCATAAAACAAATATCAGCTGAAGATTCACATATACATTCTAACTGTGCTCCCAGTGTACCAATCAGCCATAGCCACTTACAGGAAAAGTGAGAAACACTGAACTCTGAGTTTAAAGAATTGCAATGACACCTTGCAGTTGACAGGAAGTGAACTTTTTGTCCTTGAAGTTGATGTGTTAGAAGCAGAACAAAATGGGGGCAGTCTGGTGGAATTAAGTGATTTTGACAAGAGCCAAATTATGATGCTATATGTCTGGGTCATAGCATCTCCACAACTGCGGCTCCTGGTGGGAAGTTCCTTCAGTCTTCTGAGGTTAGGACCCTTCCATGAGTGTTTCAGAAGGAGAAACTGATAAATGGGTAACAGGGTCATGAGTTGTCATGGCCCATTGACACACTTGGAGAACAAAAGCTGACTAGTGTTGTCTGACAGAATAAAAGGGCTCAAATGGCTGAAAACGTAAACACCAGTTCAGACACTGAGTTGTCAGAAATCCCAGTGCATCATGGCTTGTTTTGTGTATGGGCTGTGTGGACCAAAGGTGGTTAGGGTACCTGACATGCTCTCTACCAAATAAATTTGAAGTAAGGAAACAGTTACAAACTGGATCATGGAGAAGTAGAAGAAGGTCTGGTCTGATGACTCAGACTTTTAAAAAATGCAAGCTGGCAAGGGCAGTGTGACACTTTTGATAATGTCACACTTTGGATTCGTATTCATGTGGCTATTTAACATTTTACGATCCGCTTCAAGAATTTAAATGATCAAATACTTATTTTTTTGGCAACAGCTTTTCTATGATAGCAGCAACTTCCCTTGAAATAAAAATTCCCCTTAAGTTTTTTTTCAGTCTTGGCCTCATTCAGATTAGTTTTTAGCTGATCAACGGGTCTGATTTAACTGTATTTCTCTAAACTAAGCTCATTTAAAGATCTACAGTAGTACCTCGGTACTTTGCAGTTCGTTTATCACGGACTCGCTTTATCACGGTTTTTCAAAATAAGATTGGACACGACACACAATTGGCTGATTGATGGATGAGCCGCACGTTCGGCATGGGATTTTTATTTAAAATATCCATCCATCCATCCATTTTCTTTACCCGTTTATTCCAATTTGGGTCACGGGGGTCGCTGGTGCCCATGTCCAGCAATCACTGTGCGAGGGGCGGGGTACACCCTGGACGGGTCGCAAGTCCATCACAGGGCCACAGAGACAAACGAGACAAACAACCATTCACTCTCTCACTCACACCTAGGGACAATTTAGAGTTACCAATCAGCCTAACATGCATGTTTTTGGTCTGTGGGAGGAAACCGGAGCACCCGGAGAAAACCCACGCATGCACAGAGAGAACATGCAAACTCCACCCAGAAAGGCCCCTGGACCGGGGTTTGAACCAAGGACCTTCTCGCTGAGAGGCAGCAGCTCTACCAGTTGCGCCACCGTACTGCTATTTAAAATATATTATTTTAAATTATCTAGCACCTGCTGCACATTTATGCAACCCAGAGTTGCAGAAAAAAGCTTCCTCCTGCACTGTTGTGCAGCTCATATTGCTGGATAAGCTTCCTGCTGCAGATGATCAGCTGTTCAGTGTGCAGAGCAGAGAAGTGGGCGTGGCCATAAACACTTGCAAGTAGCAAAGAGCAGACGAGGAAGGGAGCTGAAATCATGACAATCTGTGCTTTTTAAGAGCATTTAGATTATATGTATATATACATATATATATATATATATATATATATATGTATATATATATATATGAATACTAAAATAAACTACTACTTACAACTTGTACTACTATCCCTACTTTGCGGTTTTTCACTTATCGCGGGACTTCCTGTTACAGATCCCCTGTGATAAACGAGGAACTACTGTATATAAAACAAGTAGTATATCCATTGTTCACAAAAAAACAATTTAAAAAATTTGAACCGCTCTTTTATAGTATTTCCTATTGAGCAACAGTTGTCAAATAACTCAGCACAACTTTAAAGTTATATTGGAGTCCATGCCTTCAAGAGCTTAATGTTTAGTGGCAAGAGGAACAACTTGACAACAACATGTGATTGTAATGTTGTGGCTGATGGGTGAACGTTTACATTTATGTCATGCATTGAGTACCTGTCATCATCTTCTGCCAAAGCAACCTTCTCAAAATGAATGTGAAGCCGGTAGCCCTCAGGGGCTTCCAGCACCCAGTGGCAGGTCAGATTGTTGCTGTAATTGCCGGGAAAACCAGGAGAGACAATACGACCAGTGGTGGCATTTTTTATCATCCCTCCACAGGACGCTAAATGGGAAGAAACAGCAAAAACAAAGAAAGAGGATAAAGAGTTAGAGGGTAAAACTCAATGAAAAAAAAAATGTAATGAAACTGTGGAAGCAGGATTTTAGAAGAAAGTTCCTGTCTGTGCACAGATTGCATCGATCTCCAGTGAACTGTAGCTGAACAACACTAGGCAGCTCTCCTGGGTCTCTGGGTGTCTGATACTTAGAAAAAAGCATGGCAAAATGGCAGCAGTAACACTATCATTTGAGAGCAGCTGCAGGCAGCCGGAGTAAAAAGCCGGAACAGTCAGATGAGCCTTCAACAGCAGGAGACAGACAGACGTGTTATAGTAATGGCAGCCACGTCCAATGGCTTTGTTTTGCCTCATCTCCAAAGAACAGCTCTCTGTGCACAGTCGGCCTCTCAAATCAACTCGGCAGGAGACCAGCTAGAGAAAGCGTTCATTAATCAAAATTACCTGTTTCCTCGAAGAAACCTGGAGAGAAAATGATTCACTCCACTTATGTTCTTAGGTTGCTTAATGATTTATTTCGCTCGTGATTTTAATTGTTTAAATTGTTCTGAAAATTCCTCACATTAATACAGAAATATTTAGGAACAATTAAGAGTGAATTTAAACATGTTTGTTAAATAATTGTTCACGTCCCTGAAGGTCATGTCTTATGAAAAGTTAATAGCAAATCTTTCCCACACTCCATAAATAACATTTAATTGAGTGAGTTTTAATTTTTTTTTAAACTTAATAATAAAAAAAAATCAGATTAGAGAAAATAGGGGGAGTGGTGGCGCAGAGGTTAGAGAAGGCGAGTCTGTAATTAGAAGGTCGCCGTTTCGACTCCCTGGACCAACAACATCAAAATGTGGGTGGGAAAGGTGAAGTAGTCACACTTGCCTCCATCCTCATTTGCCCCACTCTGGGCCCTTGAGTGAGGCCCTTAACCCCCACCATCTGCTCCCCCGGGTGCCCTAGATTAGAGCTGTCATTTCTAACCCAAACCCGGAGCCCAGAGCCCGGAGCCTGGAGCCCAGCCCGGCCCGGCCCGGATTAGGGCCGTGCCGGGCCATAATAATGTGCTTAACGTGTGGGCTGGGCTGGTGTCTGGCTTTTGATTGCATCAGCGGACGTGCACTGCTGACGATCCAATATATGGCAACCTGGCTTGCCATACAATCACCAGTCATACGCGGCCATTTGACCGCACGCTGATCGACACTGAAAGATGTAAAAAAATCAGTTAAGCTTCAGATGGGACTATACTGCCAGACAGCGATCCATCAAAGCCCAAATAGACGTTCATTCAGCCGCTGTGTTCAGCAGACACGCACAGCTGACGATCCAAAGATCCCAAAATATCTGACATGTCAGAGCAGGGTCCGTGTCTGAATAATGCAGAATGCAGACAGAAGCAGGGGTTTAAATGCGTCTTGATAGCCATGAAAGGACAAAAAAACCCTCAGCCTCCTATCTTCTGCCCCCTTTTAATCAGCTGCGTGGCCAACGACCATTAATAACTATATAAGCAGTCAAAGCTTAATTAAAAATGTCAGGGGGTTCGGGTTTAGATCTGTAATTACTGTTAATTCGTCGGGTCGGGTGGGGCTCAGGAATTATGTCTACGGGCTGGGGCTGGGTTGGGTCTGATTTATTTGGCCCAAATGCAACTCTACCTTTGAAGGCAGCTCTCTGCTCCAAACAGAGGGCTGTGGTAGTTCGGTGGACTGTAGTTGCATCACGCCAGGAATATGGCCTAAAAACAACTGCCAAGTCTTAGTGCGAGTTCATTTGCTGTGACAACCCCTGAAGAAGTGAGCAGCCAAAAGAAGAAAAGACAATGAATGTCAGGCCAATGAATTTTGGTTGCCTTACCAACACATATGGGCTCTTTCCCGCTCCAGTAAGGTGTAGTTGCATTGCGACACATGAGCATTTTAGGACCTTGCAGCTTGTATCCAGTGAAGCATCTAAAGAAGGCTTCTCCGCCAGCGTGGAGATGCGTTACTGAAACTTCTCCACCAGCCGGCTCTTTGGGAAACGCACAGCTGAGCACAAAAGCTGCAGAGAAGAAAATTGGAAATTAAAAAAGAAGCTACTTCAGTGAAGTACAGCTTTGAATTGGTCAACCAGTTCTAACTGAAATGACAACATGCAGAGCAACCACAATTAAGACCAGAAAGAAAAGTCAATTAATATAAAACAGACAAAAAAATACAAGTAAAACTTAAAGAAAAGTTGACAGATTGATGCAAGAAACCTAATGGGCCAGAAAATACATTCAAATTACTTCAAAAACATGAACTCAAGTTGTTCTTTACATTACAAAAATACAATCATAAACAAAGAAAAGGAAAGCAATAAAGTACAAGTTCTGCGATCTTAGAGTTAAATATTATTTTCCCATCGTTTGTTTTCGGAAAATATTAGTAGTGCAAGTGTGCAAATGCAAATAATTACCTACAGAAAGAAAACTCAAGTTGGTATTAATATTGCCCATATTTTCCCTTTGTTTCTTCCGTTTACATTTCTTATATGTATTTAAAAAATACTGACAGTGCATTCATGTTGAATAATGCAGTGCGTGTACCCATTGTTCGATGGCTTGATAAAAAGCAATACAGCCCAAATCAGTAGATTAATTGCATGTTGTGATGATGAAACACTTTATAAAGTGTGCAGTTGGGTAATTTTTGAATTGATGTTTTAGAAATATAATTTGCCTGGGATCGATGATTTATTAGTCATGAAAAAAATAGTCCATTTCTTGCCAAGACTGTCTGCAATTTTAACTGACTGCAGAGTGTCCTCACTTGTATTGTTCATATTGCTGACCATTTTTTCCTCTCCTTCGAATCACTGCTTCAAACCAACAAGTATTTGGGCATAATCGGTAGATGAGAAAAGGCTTTATCTTTACTTTTTTAAACTGATAAAACTCAATGTTTCAGCTCCGACTCTATCAAAAACACATGCACACATTTAAAGCTGGTTTACAACCAACATCCAACTATTTTTCTAGTCTCCATATGGTAATTGTTGTTTACTAATATGTAAACTATGCAAATTTGCAAAGACATGTTTGGAGCAATATGGTAATTACCAGAGCTCTGTGATTCATGCAGCTGCAAGTAGGCTGACAAATGGAGGTATTGCTGATAAACTCGATATCACTGTGGGTCTGTGGCATGATAGTGGAGGAAGAATAGCCTGTGCAGTGGCTGTCAAAGAGTCACGATTGCTGTAGGGTAAGATCAATGTTCCTGGAGTTGCTTTGCATTGTTGTCCTGTCGCTGTTTTTAAATAAATGGTGTAGAATGAGAGGGAGTTAGCATAGATAATGAAGTAAGCTAAGCAAGTCTTTAATGGAAGCTATTAAACAACCTTCTCCTCCTGTCTAATAACCGCACGGTTCTACCTCATTAGTGTAGGCACTTTAATGACCAGAGGAGAACTTTTAAACTTCTTGAAATGCGGGAACAATTGAAATGGCTGAATAATTGGACTCAATAAAGTTTGTGCTACAAAAGCCCAGTGCTGGTGAAGTTCCATAAAACAGAAAACTTTTTAAAGTCAGTATCCTTGAATCTACTTGGACTAGTAATGCTAACCTAACCATCCTAACTTAGGTTAGAAGTATCATCTCTTAGGGAAAGAGTGTCACCGAGGACACATCAGTCACAATGTTAAGGTCATTCTGAGAACACAAGGCAGAAATGTTGCCTTCACTGAATCAGGAGAATATTCGACAATAGTCTGTGCAAACTAGACTAATGATTTAATTAAAGATAAATGACTACAAGGTTGCACAATTAGTAACTGCACAACTAGTTTAATCAATAAAGGTTGGGTCTTTGCTCTTGCTTGATGTTTGTGCTAGCGGTAATTAAGATTTGCTAGATTTATTGTGTGTAATATTTAAGTTTAGCTTTTGGCTATACCTCATGGTGGCTTTATTGCCATCATAAATCTGCTAACTGGCTTTTGATTTATTCAGAAGCCACCAGTGTGGCACTTTGATTCCACTGTTTTTAAACTTAGGGCTGGATTATAAAAAGTAACCTAAGAGTTTTCATTCAAAAGAGACAGAAACACAATTTGGTCATGCTTGCCATGTTTTTCTTTTCTTTTTTTTTTAGAGTTTCATGGTTTGTAAAGCTGTTTTGGTTGTTTAGTTGTGTTAAGTTCTGTAGTTCAGGTTGTAGCCTCCCGGTTTACTCAGTCTTACTGATTCCAGGTTCTCAGATATCACTTGTTCCAAAACTTTTCAGCTCACCTGTGGAAACATACTCATCACCTTTCCCAGTTTTTTTTTTTTTTTTTTTTTTTTTTATATTTTACACTTCACTGTCAGATCAAACTGGTAATTTCTGATCACTCTAGTTTATGTCATGTCTAGTCATTCTCCTTGTTTTAAACATTGAAATTCAAATCCTTGGTACAGAACCTGCCTCCAGCTTGTCTACATAGGTTCATTCAGCTAGAATTAAGGCAACTTCAAATCTTAAAAAAAAAGAGTCCATGCTCAATAATCCAGGTATACAATCCAACAATTTTCAGGCAGGTCATCTGGACAGTTTCTTTTTTTACTGAAATGTTTCACTTCCATGGACAGAAACTGTCCAGATGACCTGACTGAAAATTGTTGGATTGTATACCTGGATTATTGAGCATGGACTTTTTTGGTTTTGAACCAGTTTGACATGACTGTTGACGAGGAAGAGGGCCAGCAACAGAGGAGGGGGCGTGCCAAAGACACCATCTTAGCACCAACATAACTGGTTTGTTCCACTTTGAAGTAAGCTGTTTGGGGGAAGAATCAGTTTTATGTTGTGTGTTTCCTTGACTGATGAAGACTTCTGGATGGAAGGTGAAACGTTTCAGCAAAAAAAGAAACTGTCCAGATGACCTGACTGAAAATCGTTGAACTTCAAAAATCTTGGTGTGATTTTTGATCAGGATATGTATTTTGTCTCACATTAAAAACATTTCTAGAACCACCTTCTTCCACCTGCGTAAATCACTAAAATGAGAAACATCTTATCTAAAAATGATGCAGAAAAACTGGTTCATGCATTTTTCACATCTAGACTGGACTATTGCAATGGTTTATTATCTGGGTGTCCAAATATTTCTTTAAAACGTCTTCAGTTGATCCAAAATGCTGCTGCCAGAGTCTTAACTGGAGTTAGTGGGAGAGATCATATCTCTCCAGTTTTAGCTTCTCTCCATTGGCTCCCTGTCAAATTCAGAATTTAATTCAAAATCTTACTTCTAACCTACACAGCTCTCAACAACCAAGCTCCATCAAGATCATATTTTTCCATATTTTCCTAACAGAGCACTTCACTCTCAGACTGCAGGTTTACTTGCGGTTCCTAGAGTTTCCAAAAGCAGAATCGGAGGAAGATCTTTCAGTTATCAGGCTCCTCTCTTGTGGAACCAACTTCCAGTTTCTGTCCATGAGGCTGACACATTGTCCAGTTTTAAGACTGGACTGAAGACTTTCCTTTTTGATAAATCCTATAGTTAGGGTTGACTTGTGATGCAGCTATAGGCTTAGACTACTGGAGGACAAATTTAACAAATTTCTTAAAATGAATAGTTTTAATTTGATATTATTTCTGTCTTAACATGTATTCTCGACCTGCCAATGTGTATCTGTTCCTTCTTCCTGTTTCTCTCAAACCCAGATGGTCGAAGCAGATGGTCGTTTGTCCTGAGCCTGGTTCTGCTAAAGGTTTCTTCCTCATGAGGGAGGTTTTCCTTTCCACTGTCGCCTTCATGTTTGCACAAGATGAGTGTCCGTGATGGAGTTAAATTCAAAGCAGTCTGCTCCTCAGATAAATAATGTTAAATTATTTTTTATGTATATGAATGTTCCTGTGTAGTGCCCTGAGATGACTTCTGTTGTGACTTGGCGTTATATAAATAAACTGAATTGAATTGACCTTCCTTTCAAAACAGTCAAGTTATTAATTTTTTATTTTATGATTTCATGTAAAACTGCTGGAAAAATATGGGAGTCAATAAAAGTTTTATAATTTTGTGAAATGTATTTAGTAAACTGTTTTGTATAAAACATTATGATTCTGTTGATTAGTCTTTATATTCTTTTCATTAGAACTTTGTCTTTGTAGTAAACATTTACAGTAAAATAATGAAAGCTAACTATACAAAAGAAACATGGTGTTATTTAGAAAGGTTTTGGCTAAAGTGAAGGTGTTTTACATAAAAATCTAGTTTCATCCATTTTCCATCCTCTCTTTACAGGGGTGGAGCTAAACATTTTTGTACGGGATGACAAAGGTGTTTCTTAGGGGGACACATACAAACAAAAAATATATATTTTGTTTCTCCAACCTGTTACTAAGAAACATTTCTTCTTGACAATTTTCAGAACCCACAGAGAGCAATGCACAACAGATTTTAAATTCAAATATAAAAATCCAAGATGGCCACCAAAGCTAAATTCTGATGGCTATAACAGCTAATTTTAAGACTTATTGAGTCTAAATCTGGGGCAGCACGGTGGCGCAACTGGTAGAGCTGCTGCCTCTCAGCGAGCAGTTCCTTGGTTCAAACCCCGGTCCAGGGGCCTTTCTGGGTGGAGTTTGCATGTTCTCTCCGTGCATGCGTGGGTTTTCTCTGGGTACTCCGGTTTCCTCCCACAGACCAAAAACATGCATGTTAGTCTGATTGGTAACTCTAAATTGTCCCTAGGTGTGAGTGAGAGAGTGAATGGTTGTTTGTCTCGTTTGTCTCTATGTGGCCCTGTGATGGACTTGCAACCCGTCCAGGGTGTACCCCGCCCCTCGCACATTGATTGCTGGACATGGGCACCGGCGACCCCCGTGACCCAAAATGGAATAAGCGGGTAAAGATAATGGATGGATAGGTGGTTCTTAAACCAACTATTTCACACAAATGTTACATTATGTTAATTTATTGGTTCAGTTGCTTAATTATTATTTTTTGCCACACACTGATAGGTTCCCTCTACACCAGACAACAGCTGCTTGATAGTTAATTACTCCTTTTTTGCTCTAATTGCCTGTATT